GCGGCTGACGCCGCTGGCTTGTGGAAGGAAGCGCCGTGGGTAGGACACGGCACCGGAGACGCGGGGCTTGCCCGGGCAGAGACCCGCAGCCCGAGCTGTCCGATGTCTGTGGCTCCCAGCGTGAGCTGCGTCTGGAGGTTGCAGAAGGAGTTCCAGTGAGCTGTAGGACGAGCTATCCTTTGCGCTGCCTCGGCATTCTCTGAAGAGTTCTGCAAAAGGTTCGGACCGTATTGCAGGAGGTCGAGTTAAACTTCTTGCTCTCTAAACCCTCTTTTGTTCGGGGTTTGCTTTGTACCTTTGCTACACTTTCCTTGAGGAATGCCCGTGTCCCAGTGAAGCTGACAGATGAGATCTGGCAAACTTTACTGCAAGGACAAAATACATTCCCGCCTGCCTCTCTGTCAGGTGACTGCGATCCAGCAGAAGAGCTGGCGAGGAGATGCCTGCCTCTTGGGGCCCATAACTCCTCTCTGTGATACTTTAAGCCATAGCTGAGAATGTTATAAGTGCTCTGCCACTGTTGTCATCCAGCAGAGCTGCGTCCAGCTGTGGGGCTGGTACCTGCTCTGCTCTGCAGAAACTTCTTTGGGAGTCGTGGCTCAGTTGAGTGAGCTGCTGAGATGCAGCAACTTCAACAGCCATAGTGTCCCTAAGCCAGAGCCCTGCAGAAACAGTTCTTGCTCGGTGCTGTTGTCTGTAGCGTGCTGGTGTCCTGAATGTTGCTCACCTGGGGGGAGATGGGAGCACCAAGGGCAGTGCTGAACACATCCTTATAAAATTATTATTAATGTCTCCTTCAGGCCTGAAATTCCTCTTGCTAGTCTTCCATTCTGTTAAATGCTTCGCAAACCAGAGCAAAGGAAGAGACATGAAGAGTTGAATTTCACTGCCTTGTTTGGAACTGGGTGGAAATCCTGGAGATGGATCTCTTAGGAGTCTGTCTTCCAATTGGGTTAGATGCACAGGTAACAGTAAAGGGACTTGTGGCATTTTTGGTAATACTGCTTCTAATTGCTTTATGTTTGCAAAGAGCTCTGAAATAGTGATTTAGGGTTTATGGGGATTTTCCCCCTCTACCATCTTTGTTCAGCTTTGTTCTGCAACAGAGCTCAGGAGTGTTTACTGTGGCAACTACAGAAATCCTGCTTTAAACACTGACACCAGCCATGTTTTTCTTTAGTGGTAGGATGAACTATTGCACTAACAGCACGTGTACGCTTGAGGGTAAGAGGGATAAGGAAGTGACTACATTGCCAAGTTTGGGTCGAGCTGAGGGAAGAAATGAGAAGTTGAAAGGAAAGTTGTCCCTCATAGGAAGAAGTAATGGAGAGCTTCACAGAAGTGGCTTTGACACCTCTTAAGTTTTGCAACCACTGGGGTTTCTTAAAAATCTGGCCTTGCAGCATTGTGATTACAAGAGCTTTTCTACATCAATAAGCAGGAGATGGGAAAAAGCGAACGGGATATACCATAAAGTTCAAATATGGCAAGCCAAAGCAAAGCAGGCCCCAAAGAAGCTGACTGGCCATGGGGTTATTAGAAGAATTTGGGTTGCTTTTTAAAATGTCTTTTCTGTTTCTATGTGCTGAGGATGGGGGTTGGCACTCTACTTTTGAGCAGGTGTAGAATTGGAGCTGTGGGTGGACTTATACATGTGTGAAGCTTGTCTCTGTCTGGCCCAGCACCTGAGGACTTTCTGCAAAGCCTTGACTTTCACCACAGGTCACTCACCTCTCCTGTCCATGCAGATGGGCAACTCTGGGAAGTGGGGATGAGAGAAGGTGGTGTAAAATCCATTGTTTTATTATTGGAGCAGAAGGCATTCTCTCCTGAACTACATTCTTGCTGTGTCTTAGCTGTTTCCTCAAATGTCCCTTTATTGCAGGAGCAATGGATCGCCCCAGCTACCTGGAAGAGGACTATTCTAGCCTGGATGGGCTGGACGATGACGTGTTTCACTCTGATGACTTTGGACTTGCAGGTCAGCCTGGTGAGATGACTGCAACTGGCTTTTTCACACAGAACCAGTCCTACAGCTGCCTTCTGGGGAGATTTCAACTATTCCCCCTCACACACTGCTGTGGTCCCGGTATCAGGCATCCTGAGCAGCAGGACAAGGCAACTCAAACACTCAGCCCATCCTCTTCCAGTCAGGATGTTATGTTGCCTTGTGGAGTCACTGAAGAGCCACGGAGACTCTTCTATGGTAAGAGCACTCCAGTGTCACTAGCTTTGCAGCAAAGAAACTGTCCCTTTAGCACTTCCCCAATCAAGCAAGATCTCTTTCATTAGGGTTTTTTATTAAAGGACTGAAATGATTTTGCTTTAGTCCTACTCCCTCAAGAAAGACAATTCGTATTTTCTTGCCCTTGCTTATCCACTGCAGGAACCAAACACCTGCTCATTGCTTCTGCTGTCTTTGACATTCCCCCTCTCTCTTTTTGGCTTTATTCTATCACATTTGATTTTACTGCTAGATGTTTAAATATTCACGGTACTTCATTTCTACAATTTGCCTACATTTTTTAACTACCAATGGGCTGTCTCATCCACCTAGGAAGTGGAAACTCCTAGAAGTTTTCCATGGAGAGAAGATGCTAAAAGTTACAGCTTTTTTAGGCTCTTCACTGGAGTTAAAAGTTGCTGAATAAGTACCATGTCCATCCAGTGTTTTACTAGTAACTTATGGGTCACCATTCAGCTTTGTGTATCCAATTTAGCTTTAATTCAAATCACTAAGATCACTAAATGACAGAAAACTGAGAAAAGACTGACAGAAAAGATACTGCTCCCTTTGAGGGGAGATAACTTGAGGCAGAGATCCTGTAAAACTGCAAAGCTGTCTGTAAAAAAAACCCCAAACCACAGCATTTGGCTGAGCTGTAAACAAGCAAAAGGAATCCATTTTAAGATCCTGCCACTCATTTGACTATGGGAATCAACACAATGCTTTGCTTAATCAATATAGGTTTATTTTAAAGCTGGGCAAATCTTTTACTGCACTGTGTTACAGTACGCAGTCATTGTTTGGCCTTCAGGAACTAGACTTTAAAAGTCAAACATTTAGCATTACAAGCAACTCTTTCCTCCATGAAGTGTACTGAGTAGAAAAGATAGTCTTTGCACTGGAAGAATGACTCTTGTGATCTGTTTTGTAGGGAGTGCTGGTTACCGTTTACATGTCCCTCCAGCTGGTTTTGTGTTGGATCCTCACCTCCAAGAGGAACCTCAGGAAGGTCAGCGGGAAGCACGTGCTGAGGTGCAGATTGCACGGAAGTTGCAGTGCATTGCCGACCAGTTCCACCGGCTCCACATACAGAGGGTAGGGTGTCTCTGGAGGGGAAGGTGGGGGCTTACCTGTCCAAGAGTGCTACTCTGAAGACTGGCTCCAGGCATCAGCTAAGTGAGCTGTTGTTTAACACAGCAGACCGCCCACAGCGATAAAATGGCAGGAGTATCTTGATGGTTTTGCTTATGCTAGATTGCTCACTTTTCCTAAAGATTGGCAGCTGGAGGGAGGAGAATGTGAGGGATTGCATTTACTGCATGGGAAGGGAGCTCTTCTGTGTTAGCTTCTGCTATTCCAGCTCTTCCAGTTCATCAGCAGTGGGGTTTGAGGCTTTTTCCTCTTGCTTTTTATTACTACAGCTTTTACTCTTCTCCATTCTCCTCACCACCAGCACCTTCTCTTCTGTGGAACATGCAGCCATCAGTGGCTTGTGTCAGCTCCTCATCTTGGAGATAACAAGCCTGGAGTCTGTTCTGACACTCCTTGTTGTCTAACGGTAGTTCTATGTAATGTTGTAAAGAATATTTAGATCATACTAGACTTGCTAGCAGCTCCTGGTCAGACAGTCCTAGCTAGTGTCTCAGACTTGTGACTAACTTCCTCACAACAAAAGACAGCTGTGAGATGCCATCAGGTCTGAAAACCACACTCCAGATTCTTGATTTTGTTTTCTTAAAAAAAAACCAAACCAACCAAAAACCAAACACTGCTGTTCAAAGAAACAAAATAACTATTACCCCCAGAACCTTTGATTCTTTCTTCCTTGCTCTCCTTCCCCTTTGGGTAGAGATAAAATCTCAGCCCAGACACAGATGGTCAGAGGTGGCAGAGGCTTGGCAGTAGGCAGCAGTTTGCCACTTCTATGCAAGCCCAACAAGGAGGGTGTGCATCTGCTTGTATATGAAGAAATGTTGCTGACTTCAAAAAGGGATAGAAAGTTTATCTTACTCCAAGTGAGTTTGTCCTCTGTTAACTATGGGATCATTTGCAGCCCTTCTCAAAGGTGAGTGAAGATCTGTGTCCTGGCCAGACAGTGTGGCTTGTGGCTGGGCAAAGGCTTGGTTCTCTCTGTGTCATCTGAGAGGTGAGGAAGTTCGGGGACCCCTCATCTCCTAATAGGTGGAGGATTAAAGAAGGAAAAGGAAGATTAGCCTGTAGAAATGTAGATGGGACTATGAATGTCATTTAGCAAACTGCAGGAATAAAGAGCTACCACGAGATTTTTTAACGTGTTGTTTGTGGTTGGATGGGGTTTTCCCCGGTGGCGCCTTTTCGCCAGCGTTAGCTGCAGGCCCCGCTCTCTCGCCAGGCTGTCTCACAGGAAAGGGAAGGTTTAACCAACTTGGCAGAGGAGCCCTGCACTGAACTGGTGGAACTGGTTGTAACTTGACCCCTTTCAACTCGGGGGAGTGTCCCTATCTGATGCCCGTGCCTTGGAAACGCGTCCAGGGAGCGCCCACCCGCCCCGGCCCCGGTAGGGCAGGCGGGGCCGGGCCCCC